GCCCGAGATGGCTGGATCACCTGAGGTTAGGAGTTCGAGACCAGCCTGACCAATATGATGAAACTCTATCTCTACTTAAAATACAAAAATTAGCCAAGCATGGTGGCAAGTGCCTGTAATCCCAGCTCATCAGGAGGCTGAGACAGAAGAATCACTTGAACCGGGGAGGTGGAGGTTGCAGTTGAGCTGAGATCGCACCATTGCACTCCAACCTGGGCAACAAGAGCAAAATCTCCGTCTCAAAAAAAAAAAAAAAAAAAAAGACAGCATTTCTCTCTCTCTCTCTGTCGCCCAGGCTGGAGTGCAATGGCATGATTTTGGCTCACTGAAACCTCCATCTCCCGGGTTCAAGAAATTCTCCTGCCTCAGCCTCCAGAGTAGCTAACAGGGATTACAGGTGTGTGCCACTATGCCCAGCTAATTTTTGTATTTTTAGTAGAGACGGCGTTTCGCCATGTTGGCCAGGCTGGTCTCGAACTCCTGACCTCAGGTGATCCACACGCCTCGGCCTCCCAAAGTGCTAGCTCCAGCTATTTCTACAGCACAGGATTGAGGGGCAGCAAAGCCTTTCCCCCTGCCCCCCATTTTTTTGGCCTCAGGACGCTGGACATCGGATCTGGATCTGCCACACGCTTACCACAAGGCAGTGCAGGGACTGGAGCCAGGCAGCCCAGATACGAATCTCTGCTGGGTAATTTGCTAGCTGTGTGACCCTCTGAGGCAAGAAGCAACCTCTCTGGACCTCAGATTTCTGGTCTGTCGAACGGGACTCACAGGGTACCCTATTTTGAGGCTGTGGTGAAGATTAATGTATAATCCCTCAGAAAAAGCTTAGAACAGGGTAGCACCCGGTAAATACTATGTGTGTTGGGGGAGGGCAGGGGATGAAGGCCAGGAGGGAGCCAGGCAGATCTAGGTTTAAATCCTGGCCCTGCCATTTCTGTTCCATGTAAACCGGGCGAACAATGATCTCTGGCTGAGCCTCTGTTTCCTCATCTGTAAAACAGGGATGATGACACTCATCACACAGCGTTGCGGTGAGGATTAAATGAGATAAAGATTGAAAGAAGAAGAAAGTGTTAACTAAGGATAAACCTTTCCTGTTTTTTGTTTTGTTTTGTGTGTGTTTTTTTTTTTTTTTTTTGAGGCGGAGTCTTGCTCTTTCGCCCCATCTGGAATGCAGTGGCGCGATCTCGGCTCACTGCAACCTCCGCCTCCCAGGTTCAAATGATTCTCCTGCCTCAGCCTCCCGAGTAGCTGGGACTACAGGTGTGTGCCACCACGCCCAGCTAATTTTTTATACTTTTAATAGAGATGGGGTTTCACCGTGTTAGCCAGGATGGGCTTGATCTCCTGACCTTGTGATCCGCCTGCCTCGGCCTCCCAAAGTGCCACCGCACCTGGCCAAGACAACCTTCCTTTAGGCCAGCCCTGTTCCAAGTACTTTTGCACTACACCAACGACAGCTGATGTTTGAGTTCTTACCCCAGAATGGCCCTGTGCCAACTCCTATATGCAAATTGTTAATACTCACACCAGCTGCCATGATTTGCTCCATTCCACAGGTGAAAAAAAATGAGGCACAGAGAGGCCGAGTAACTTGTCTAAGGTCACACAGCCAAGGAGTAGCAGAGCCCCAGAATCTTTGTAGCTGACCCCTCAAGGTAGGCAATATTACCAGCCCCACCTAAAAATGAGGAAACTGGCTGGATGTGGTGACTCATACCTGTAATTCCAGTGCTTCAGGAGGCTGAGGCAGGAGGATTACTTGAGCCTAAAAGTTTGAGACCAACTTGGGCAACATAGGGCAAACCTGTCTCTACAAAAAAAAAAAAAAAAAAAAAAAAAAATTATTTTGTTTATTTATTTATTTATTTTGAGATGGAGTCTTACTCTGTTGCCCAGGCTGGAGTGCAGTGGTATAATCTTGGCTCACTGTAACCTCCGTGTCCTGAGTTAAAGCAATTCTCCTGCCTCAGCCTCCTGAGTAGCTAGGATTACAGGAAGCACACCTGGCTAATTTTTTTGTATTTTTAGTAGACATGGAGTTTCACCATGTTGGCCAGGCTGGTCTCAAACTCCTGACCTCAGGTGATCTGCCAGCCTTAGCCTCCCAAACTGCTGAGATTACAGGCATGAGCCACCACGCCTGACAAAAAAAAAAATTTAAATTGGCCACACACGATGTTTCACACATGGTCTCAGCTACTCAGGAGGCTGAAGCAGAGGGACTGCTTGAACCCAGGAGTCTGAGGGCACAGTGAGCTATGATCATACCAAAGCACTCTAGCCTGGGTGACAGAGTGAGCACCTATCTCAAAAAAAAAAAAAAAAAAAAAAAGGAAACTGAGGCTCAGAGAGAAGAAACTGCTTGCATATCCAATATGGCATTCAACAAATACTCCACTCTATCCCTTAAGGCCTTAGTTTTCCATGTCAGGAAAATGGGTACATAGGGCAGGAGCTTTTCTATTTCACCTTCTGGCCATATTTTAATTTAAAAAATAAAGGCTGGGAGCAATGGCTCACACATGTCATCCCAGCACTTTGGGAGGCTGAGGCAGGTGGATCACTTGAGGTCAGGAGTTTGAGACCAGCCCAGCCAACATGGTGAAATCCTGTCCCTACTAAAAACACACACAAAAAATTAGCCAGGCATGGTGGCACGTGCTAGTATTCCCAGCTACTCAGGAGGCTGAGGCAGAATCACTTGAACTCGGGAGACAGAGGTTCCAGTGAGCTGAGATTGCACCACTCCACTCCAGCTTGGGCGACAGAATGAGACTCCATCTCAAAAAAAAAAAAAAAAAAAAAAAAAAAAAGAGGAATGCAGTTAGAAAAAACATTCATAGAGAATAAAAGACTGCAGAGTGAAAGTAGGCGTTATCTCACCCTGATCCCCGGACTCCCTTCTCACAAGCAAACCTGATGACCGTTTCCAATATCCTTCCAGAAATATTCCACGAATATGGATCGTGTGTGGATGTACCAGTGTGTGGGCCCATTTAAGAAAAGCATACCTGCCGGGCGCGGTTGCTCACGCCTGTAATCCCAGCACTTTAGGAGGCCGAGGCGGGCAGATCACAAGGTCAGGAGATCAAGACCACAGTGAAACCCTGTCTCTACTAAAAAAAAAAAAAAAAAAAAAAAATTAGCCAGGCGTGGCGGCGGGCGCCTGTAGTCCCAGCTACTCGGGAGGCTGAGGCAGGAGAATGGCGGGAACTCGGGAAGCGGAGCTTGCAGTGAGCCGAGATCACACCACTGCACTCCAGCCTGGGCCTTGGGAGACTCCATCTCAAAAAAAAAAAAAAAAAAAAAAAAAAAAAAAAGGGCGGGCGCGGTGGCTCAAGCCTATAATCCCAGCACTTTGGGAGGCAGAGGCGGATCACGAGTCAGGAGATCGAGACCATTCTGGCTAATACGGTGAAACCCCGTCTCTACTAAAAATACACAAAAAAAAAAATTAGAGCGAGCGCGGTGGCTCACGCCTGTAATCCCAGCACTTTGGGAGGCCGAGGCAGGCAGATCACGGGTCAGGAGATCGAGACCATCCTGGCTAACACGGTGAAACCCGTCTCTACTAAAAAAATGCAAAAAAACTAGCCGGGGCGAGGTGGCGGGGCGCCTGTAGTCCCCAGCTGGGAGGCTGAGGCAGGAGAATGCGTAAACCCGGGAGGCAGGCTGCAGTGAGCTGAGATCAGCCACTGCACTCCAGCCTGGGCGACAGGCAAGACTCCGTCTCAAAAAAAAAAAAAAAAAATTAGCGGGCCTGGTAGTGGGGCGCCTGTAGTCCCAGCTGCTCGGGAGGCTGAGGCAGGAGAATCTCGTAGACCCGGGAGGCGGGAGCCGTGAGCTGAGATCCGGCCCTTATCACTCCAGCCTGGGCGGCAGGCCAGACTCCTTCTCAAAAGAAAAAAAAAAAAAAGAAGAAAGAGAAAGAAAAGCACACCTGATACCGTCCAAAGAAAGAAAAGAAAAGCACACCTGATATAATCCTACCTGTGGACGAGGACAAAATGACAGGCCTTGACTTTGGGTGTGGCCATGTGACTTGCTTTGGTCAATAGCAGAGGGGCATAAGTGACAGTCGTGTCAGTTCTGAGCTTAGGCCTCAAGAGACCCTGAACATTTCTTTCTGCATCTCAGCATGGCCATGAGAAGGGCTTCCCCTGAGAGGTTCCTCTCCTCTCAGTCTGCGCTCCACAAGGTTCCCATATGAAGCAGAGCTTCCCATCTGAGCCCAGCCCGCATTGGCCAACACTCAGCCAACCGCACATCCATTTTAGAGCTATTGACCAGGCATGGTGGCTCACACCTGTAATCCCAGCACTTTGAGAGGCCAAGGCAGGAGGATTGCTTGAGACCAGGAGTTTGAGACCAGCCTGGGCAATATAGCAAGATCCCCATCTCTACCAAAAAAAAAAAAAAAAAAAGTTAAAATGAGCCAAGTGTGGTGGCGCACACCTGTAGTTCTAGCTACTTGGGAGACTGAGGTGGGAGCCCCAGAGGTCAAGGCTTCAGTGAGCTATGATGGCACCACTGAATTCCAGCCTGGGTGAAAAAGAGTGGGGCAAGAGGTGAGAACCTATCTCCAAAATAAAAATATACCAAAATAAAATGTAAAAAACCATAAACCAAAAATAAAATGTTAAAAAAAAAAAAAAAAAAAAGCCAGGCGCAGTGGCTCATTCCTGTAATTCTGGCACTTTGGGAGGTCGAGGTAGGTGGATCACCTGAGGTCAGGAGTTTGAGACCAGCCTGGCCAACATGGTGAAACTCCGTCTCTACTAAAAATACAAAAAGTAGTCAGGTGTGGTGGCACATGCCTGTAATCCCAGCTACTTGGGAGGCTGAGGCTGGAGAATTGCTTGAACCGGGGAGGCGGAGGTTGCAGTGAGCTGAGATCATGTCATTGCACTCCAGCCTGGGCAACAAGGGCGAAATTCCCTCTTGAAAAAAAAAAAAAATTACCTTTTTTTTTTTTTTCCGGTTGCGGCGCCACGTGGTGAGGGTCTCTAGTTCACGCTCGCAGCCATGCGGTCCAAGGGCCTAGTGCAGTCTGTGCAGGTCTTCGGTCGCAAGAAGACAGCCACAGCTGTGGCGGGCTGCAAACGCAGCAATGGCCTCATCAAGGTGAACAGGCGGCTCCTGGAGATGATGGAGCCGCGCACACTACCATAGAAGCTGCTGGAGCCAGTTCTGCTTCTCGGCAAGGAGCGATTTGCTGGTGTGGACATCCACGTCCATGTGAAGGGTGGTGGTCACGTGGCCTAGATTTATGCTATCCGTCAGTCCATCTCCAAAGCCCTGGAGGCCTATTACCAGAAATATGTGGATGAGGCTTCGAAGATGGAGATCAAAGACATCCTCATCCAGTATGACCAGAACGTGCTGGTAGCTGATCCCCGTCGCTACGAGTCCAAAAAGTTTGGAGGCCCTGGTGCCCATGCTCATTACCAGAAATCCTACCGATAAGCCCATCCTGACGATCAAAATTCACCTGTATAATGAAGTTTTTGAGGGATTTTAAAATTTCAAGAAAAAAAAAAATTAGCTGGGCGTGGTGGTGCACACCTGTAACCCAGCTACTCCGGAGCCTGAAGCAGGAGAATCACTTGAACCTGGGAGGTAAAGTTGCAGTGCGCCAAGATCGCCCCACCGCACTCCAGCCTGGGTCTCAGAGTGAGAGTCAAAAAAATAATAAATAAATAAATAAATAAAAGCGATTGCATTTTGGGGTACTGTGTTTCACTAAAAAGAAAAAAGAAAAAAAAAAAAAGAAGAATGAAGCAACAAAAGACAAAGCAGAGATTTATCCAAGACAATTCAGAGTGAGAGCGGGCTTGAGCACCTCCCCAATTGGTTCTTTTTGAGACGGAGTCTTGCTCTGTCGCCCAGGCTGGAGTGCAGTGACACAATCTCAGCTCACTGCAACCTCAGCCTCCCGCATTCACGTGATTCTCCTACCTCAGCCTCCTGAGTAGCTGGGACTCCTAGCACAAGCCACCAGGGACGTGCCACCAGGGACGCACCACCACACCCAGCTACTTATCGTACTTTTAGTAGAGACGGGGTTTCACCATGTTGGCTAGACTGATCCGAAACTCCAGATCCAAAGTGATTTGACCGCCTTGGCCTCCCAAAGTACTGGGATTACAGGTGAGCCACTGCACCAGGCCTGCCAGTTAGGGTTTTTATTAAGCTAAAAAGGACCCAGCAACACCCCTAGGTGCCCTTCAGAGGCCTCCAATTGGTTACACGCTATGAAGGATTGGCTCACGACCAATCACAGCCCAAGTGGAGACCTGGCTCGCAGTCAATCAGAGGCTGGAGTGGCTTATGATCATGGGAGGGAGGATATAGCCTGTCTGAACCTGTGGCTCTCCTGACTATATCAACTGGCTGCACCTGCTATTCTGTTGCTTATGCAAACTGGCTGTACCTGATGAAATCCCAGTTATCCTAATTACCTATTCTCCTGCCATACCAGCACTTTGGGAGGCTAAGGCTGGAGCACTGGAATTGGAGGCCGTAGGCTCATTTGAGGCTGGGTGTTCAAGATCAGCCTGGGCAACATAGCAAGACCAACCCCATCTGTACAAAAAAAAAAAAAAAAAAAAAAAGAAAGAAAGAAAAAAAGGAATCTCAAGAGACAGAAAGTTGAGCAAAATAAATCACACAAATGGGCTGGGTGCAGTCACTCACGCCTGTAATCCCAGCACTTTGCAGGCTGAGGCGGGCAGATCACGAGGTCGGTAGTTCGAGACCAGCCTGACCAACATGGTGAAGCCTCCACTAAAAATACAAAAATTAGCCGGGTGTGGTGGCATGCATCTGTAATCTAGCTACTCAGAAGGCTGAGGCAGGAGAATCGCTTGAACCCAGGAGGCGGAGGGTTGCAGTCAACTGAGATCAGGCCACTGCACTCTAGCCTGGGTGACAGGTCGAGACTCTGTCTCAAAAAAAAAAAAAAAAGAAATCAGACAAATGAGCAGCCATCCTGTATGATTTTATTTATACGAAGTTCAACAAATAGGCAAAGCTAATCTATGGTGTAAAAAGCCAGGAGAATGGTTTTATTTACTTTCTTTTTCTTTTCTTTTTTTTTTTTTTGAGATGCTCTGTCGCCCAGGCTGGAGTACAGTGGTGCGATCTTGGCTCACTGCAACCTCCACCGCCAGGTTCAAGCGATTCTCCTGCCTCAGCCTCCGAGTAGCTGGGACTACAGGCACATGCCACCACACCCGGCTAACTTTTGTGTTTTTAGTAGAGATGGGGTTTCACCATGTTGGCCAGGCTGGTCTCAAACGCCTGACCTCAGGTGATCCACCCACCTCGGCCTCCCAAAGTGCTGGGATTACAGGCGTGAGCCACCGCGCCTGGCTTTTTTTTCTTTTTTTTTTTTTTGAGACAGAGTTTCAATCTTGTTGCTTAGGCTAGAATGCAATGGCTTGATCTTGGCTCACTGTAACCTCTGCCTCCTGGGTTCAAGCAGTTCTCTGCCTCAGCCTCCCGAGTAGCTGAGATTACAGGCATCCGCCACCACACCTAGCTAATTTTTTTGCATTTTTAGTAGAGATGGGGTTTCACCATCTTGGCCAGGTTGGTCTTGAACTCCTGACCTCATGATCTACCCACCTTGGCCTCCAAAAGTGCTGGGATAATGGGAAGGGAAGGAAAGAGAAGGGGAAAGGAAGGGGAAGGGAAGGGGAAGGGAAGGGGAAGGGAGGGGAGGGGAGGGGAGGGGAGGTGGAAATTTTGCCTCAATAAAAAGAGTAAATTTGGCCGGGCGTGGTGGCTCACGCCTGTAATCCCAACACTTTGGGAGGCTGAGGCGGCCGGATCACGAGGTCAGGATTTCAAGACCAACCTGGCCAACATGGTGAAACCCTGTCTCTACTAATAATACAAAAATTAGCCAGGCATGGTGGCGCATGCCTGTAATCCCAGCTACTTGGAAGGCTAAGGCAGGAGAATCGCTTGAACCTGTGAGGTGGAGGTTGTGGTGAGCTGAGATCACGCCATTGCACTCCAGCCTGGGCAACAAGAGCGAAACTCCGTCTCAAAAAAAAAAAAAAGTAAATTTGAGAAAATAAAATATGAATAAGTGTGAATATCCATACACTCCAAATATAACAGTTCCAATAAAAAGAATACATTTGAAATGATAATAGAACATAAAAACAGGCCAGGTATTGGCCAGGTGCAGTGGCTCATGCCTGTAATCCCAGCACTTTGGGAGGCCAAGGTGGGCAGATCACGAGGTCAGGAGATCAAGACCATCCAGGCTAACACAGTGAAACCCTGTCTACTAAAAACACACAAAACATTTAGCCGGGTGTGGTGGCAGGTGCCTATAGTTGCAGCTACTTGGGAGGCTGAGGCAGAAGAATGGCATGAACCTGGGAGGTGAAGCTTGCAGTGAGCCGAGATTGCGTTATTGCACTCCAGCCTGGATGACAGAGCAAGACTCCAGCTCAAAAAAACAAAACAAAACAAAAAAAACAACAACAGAAAACAAAAACCAGGCCAGGTGGTGTGGTGGTGCACACCTGCAATCCCTGCACTTTGGGAGGCTGAGGCAGGAGGATTGCTGGAGGTCAGGAGTTCAAGACCAGGCTGGGCAACATAGCAAGACTGTGTCTTTACAAAAGATACAAAAATTAGCCGGGCGTGGTGGCACGCATCTGCAGTCCCAGCTACTGAGGAGGCTGAGGTGGGAGGATCGTTGAGCTCAGAAGATGGAGGCTGCAATGACCAGGATCACACCACTGCATTCCAGCCTGGGAGACAGAGTGAGATCCTGTCTCTAAACAAACAAACAACATAAAGAAAAAAACAAAAATGGTTAAAACAAAACAAAAAACAACCTGGGATAAACCTAAAGCAGCACCTACAGGGAAATGTATAGCTAATTTGATAAAATTGATTGATCTGGGGCCGGGTACAGTGACTCATGCCTGTAATCCCAGCACTTTGGGAGGCTGAGATGGACGGATCACTCGAGGCCAGGAGTTCAAGACTAGCTTGGCCAACATGGTGAAACCCCCATCTCTATCAAAAATATGAAAATTGGCCGGGCGCAGTGGCTCACGCCTGTAATCCCAGCACTCTGGGAGGCCGAGGCGGGCGGATCACGAGGTCAGGAGATGGAGACCATCCTGGCTAACACGGTGAAACCCTGTCTCTACTAAAAATGCAAAAAATTAGCCGGGCATGGTGGCAGGCACCTGTAATCCCAGCTACTTGGGAGGCTGAGGCAGGAGAATGGCATGAACCCGGGAGGCGGAGCTTGCAGTGAGCCGAGATCGCGCCACTACACTCCAGCCTGGGTAACAGAGTGAGACTCCGTCTCAAAAGAAAAAAAAAAAAAAAAAAAAAAAAGTACGAAAATTAGGCCAGGTGCAGTGGCTCCCACCTGTAATCCTAGCACTTTGGGAGGCCGAGGAGGGCAGATCATTTGAGGTCAGGAGTTGGAAACCAGCCTGGCCAACAGGGTGAAATCCTGTCTTTACTAAAAATACAAAAATTAGCCAAGCCTAGTGGATGGCAGCTGTAATCCCAGCCACTCAGGAGGCTGAGGCAGGAGAATGGCTTGAACCCGGAAAGCAGAGGTTGCAGTGAGCTGAGATTGAATCAGTGCACTCCAGCCTGGGTGACAGAGCGAGACTCCATCTCAAAGGAAAAAAAAAAAAAAAAAGATTGATTGATTGATTTGGAGAGACGGGCAGTACAGGTTGGGAGCCATGAAAGACGTTATCTTATTCACTACCCATCACCCTATGGACCAGGCTCCAGTCAGCTGATTATGGAGCTGCAGGCCTTGCCTGGCTCTCCGGGAACAGAAAGGAGGAATGGGTAGGGCGTCAACTCCCCGGCCCTGGGGCTGGCCCTGATTTACAACTTATCTTCTATGAATCAAATGGCATCGTAAATGGCCCGGTTTGGGAATGGGATTTGAGGAGTGGATGGGGGAGGGCCTTACAGGGTGGTGGGCCATGGGGGTGGAGTGCTGCCCTCCCAGAGTCTCTCTGGGAGGTGGCAGCCTCTTCCTGAGGGTAGGGACAGAGACAGATGAGATGGTTAAGAGTAAGACAGGGTTTGAGGGCAGGGCTGCCTGGGAATGGAGTGAGGAGAGTGTAGACTGTAATTCCAGTGATACTGGCTGTGACCTTGCCCTTTCTCGGCCCCAGCGTTCGTCCTCTGTGAAATGGGGCTTCGACATGAAGAAGTGGGGATCAGGAAGAGATTAGGAAGACGAGCTCCAGGACTGACAGCTTAGTCCAATCCGGTTCTGCCACTTCCCTGCTGTGTGACTTTGGATAGGTGTTGCAACCTCTCTGGGCCAGCCTTACTTTCCTGATTTGTAAAAACAGCAGTACATTCTAGACTCCCAGAAGAAAAGTAAATTTATTTATTTATTTATTTATTTTTTACTTTTTTTTTTTTTGAGACAGAGTCTCGCTGTGTCTCCCAGACTGAAGTGCAGT